CCACGACGAAACGAGCCGCAAGATAAAATTTTATGACCGGGAGCTCAGTGACGCGCCTAGAGGTGGTGCTGGAGCTCCGCCAGCCTCTACTATGATTGGAGGAGTTATTGGGATTAGGGATTTTGAATTTGGGAATGAAAAGGGGGAATTTTTTTCAGATTCTTACAAGTGAAACCCGCCCCGTTGGTTCGGACTCCGAATATATTCATATAAAAATTATGAAAAAATCATAGGAGTTAGAGTTTAAACGTTTTAAAAGTAAAAGAAAATTTACCATAGTAATTATTAGGGAAAATCAGGTAAATGGCTATTTTTTAATCAATAATAAACACTTTTTTATTTTTTAAATTAATGACTGGATTTTTTTTATTTTAACAAAATGATCGTTTTCTTCAGTAGTCAATCAGTAATTGATTGACGATTAATCAATGATTGACTGATTTATTATTATACTTTACTAATGATTCATCATTAAATAAATATGTAATTTGTTGATTAAAATTAATTAATTACTAATTTATTTGGATTAACTATTAATTGGTATTAATTAATAATAAAAAATCATTGTTTTAAAAAGAATAATGAAATATCATCGAGTTAATTAGTGATAAACTTAAATTAATTAATGATTAATCGCTAAGTCAATGTGAATAACTACTAAGAAGGAATGGAAGGACTTGTTACTATTGAATACTGATTCAAAAGGTGTGAATTGTACATCTAAAAAAAAAAGGTGTAAATTGAATGGAGGACATAAATCCTGAATTAGAGGTTTGAATTTTTCTAATCTGAACACCTTCCAAATTTTCCTTCTGAAACGCCTACTTGAACTGCGTTTCCTATCCAAACTAGGCTTTTGATTCGAATAGGTGAACCAAACAGGTATAAATTATTGGGAGAAAGAGGGATATAGGCCAAGACATGTGATTAATAAAAATTAATAGGCTATTAATCTATATAAGTTAATAAATAGGCTAAATTAGGATATATTCAGATTTATCTACACATAAAATTTCAAAAATACCCTTTTCAATCAAAAAAACCCTAACACCTCTCTCTCTCACCGACCTCCGCTCTCTCTCTCTCTTCCCTCCGGCGCTCTCTAGTGAACTGTTTCTTCCCTCCGCCGCTCTCCCACGATCACTTTCTCTTCCCTACTAAAATGCGATATGTCTCTCTTCCCTCTGCATCTCCCTCTTTCTCTCATCCCTCCACCAATCTCAGATTCTTGTCTACCACCGTTCCTCTCTCTTCCATCCGCCACTCTTAGAAAACCTTGCCAGTGTCGTTAGTCGAGAAATCGAAGACGGACCATAGACGACGGAAATTAACAAAAGAACAAGGTAAATCCGTTCATCACTAACTGGAAACCCACTAATTCAGGTTATGTTTTAGGTTGACACTTGAATGAATAGAAGCTCGTTACTTTTTGTTTTCCTGAAATTAGAACATATCGTATAGTAATGCTCTATCCATAACTCGACACAACTTCAAAAAACAAGTTATGATCAAGTTATGATAATAACCTGTTGAGTTATGTCATTATTGAATCTGAAATGACTTTTTATTTCACTGTCAAGTTATGGTGGTCATTTTGAGAGAAATAGATCATGATGAAGTTGAAAAAGAAATGTCACCAGTTGCATCAACAAAACTGGACAAGATGGAAATTGATTTAAGTAATCTGCTTAACAAAGTAAAAGATTTTGAAGCCAACCAGGTATCCATGAAATAGGATCTGAAAGAAATAAAGGCAATGGTTGTGAATTCTATGGACATTATGAGAACCATTCAACAAGATGTGCTTTTGTTTCTCAAAAAAATACAAAACAATCCAGCTTCTGAGGTAATGAAACAACGCAAATTGATGTTGAATTTGCTGTTGCAATGTTTCCTTAATGATATACTAATTTGTACCTCAATGAACAGGAGGACAGAGAAAAAGAAGTATCTGCAGAGCTAGGA